CGGCAGAGATAGGGGTGGCAGAGATGATGATGATGGCAGAGATAGTGGTGGCAGAGATGATGATGACGGCAGAGATGATGGTGGTGGCAGAGATGGCTGTGTTGGCAGAGATGCTCTTTCACAGGAAAGAAAGACGGAGGCTCCTGGAGAGGTGAAGTCTGAAGGATGGACCTGTCCATCACAGAGGCAGAGATGCTGTTCGCCATAATAATAATGATGATGATGATGATAGTAACAAAGAACTAAACCCATTGCCATCAGAAAGGCCCTGTGCCTGTGGAGCGGCACCCAACCTGTCAGGCGAACCGAGACAACCCCGAATTTAAGGGGTCAGCAAGAAGCTGGGGCAGCGATTTAGCACTCGTGGCCGATGGCCGACGGCCCGATAAAGCCTCGTGGGGTAATTTGACGGGGGATTTGGTGGGACAAGCCCTGTGTGACGCCACGGGGGCTCTCCAGCCAGCTTTACTTTTATTTTTACTTTACTTTACCTTTACTTTTATTTTTACTTTACTTTTCCTTTACTTTTATTTTTACTTTACTTTTCCTTTACTTTTATTTTTACTTTACTTTTCCTTTACTTTTACTTTTACTTTACTTTTACTTTACTTTTATTTTTACTTTTATTTTTGCTTTGCTTTTACTTTTTGCTTTGCTTTTACTTTTTGCTTTGCTTTTACTTTTTGCTTTGCTTTTACTTTTTGCTTTGCTTTTACTTTTTGCTTTGCTTTTACTTTTTGCTTTGCTTTTACTTTACTTTTATTTTTTACTTTTATTTTTGCTTTACTTTTATTTTTGCTTTTACTTTTGCTTTGCTTTTACTTTTGCTTTGCTTTTGCTTTACTTTTATTTTTTGCTTTACTTTTGCTTTACTTTTATTTTTTGCTTTACTTTTCCCCTACTTTTATTTTTTGCTTTACTTTTCCCCTACTTTTATTTTTTGCTTTACTTTTCCCCTACTTTTATTTTTTGCTTTATTTGATGTATTTATTTTGAGGGCCGATAATGGGCTTGTGGGGTGTTTTTTGGGGCTGGAAGCTGTGGGAGCGCAGAGGAGGGGGAGGCACAGCGTGGGCAAAGGGCGCCGAAGGGGACTCCGCTGCCCCCCAGCGCCCCCGTTTCCAGGTGGGGCGCTCAGCACCCTCCCTCCGCCGCATCCCGTCCCGTCCCGTCCTGTCCCG